AACAAATTTCCCCATACTATGAGCCATGCCTGGCAGCTAAATACATACAAAGTTAATCAGACTGAGAAAAGACTACGTTCATCCTTTCACAACGCCAACGGTTTTGAAACCGAGTAAGAGAACAAAACCCCTAGGGTAATTCTAGCACAGTCATCACCCCACCCCCAAAAGCGGCTGGATCCATTCCTGGATCAAATATTACTATGTCAGGCTTAAATTATTATACACTTGGAGGTTATAAATTGTAAAAAAAAAAACACCCGTTGCCTTTTTACTTAGCTGTCTAAACATTTCATGGCTTTACTGCTGTTACTGTAAAGACACCCTTCTTAAAGCTGAATTCCAGGCATGCATTAGTCCAACTAGGACCAAGATGAGCATGTATGTGCCATAGCTGGCCGATACCCTTGGAAGCTGGAAATTTCTGTAGTAGACACCACTACTCCAGTGATTTCCACTAGCTTCTTGTCCCATGATGAGCGGCTGCCCTGTTGTATTGTGCACACAGGAGATCGCTCACTTCCCTGATTGGATGAGGTGGGGTGGTGACATCACAATCTTCACCTTGTCCTATCGGAGAACAGTTTGCTTTCTTTGAGAAAAAAAATGCAGTGTTCTCTGAATGGTGCCAACAAGCTTGTATGCAGTTTGGAATAGAAGGCTCTATAACAGACATACAACATTACTGCCACCTTCACCCATTCAAGTATATGGATGACTCTGCTTGGGACATCCGGTCCACCAGAGATACATGGGGGTTTATTTACTAAAGCTGGAGAGTCCAAAATCAGACTCCCTTCTGCATAGAAACCAATCGGCATCTAACCTCAGCTTGTTCAATGAAGCTTTGGCAATGAAACCTGGAAGCTGATTGGTTTCTATGCAGAAGGGAGTCTGATTTTGGACTCTCCAGCTTTAGTAAATAAACTCCATGGTGTCTGCATGGGTAAATGCAGTGGTGTACATGTAGCCTTAAAGGGCCAGGAGGCCCAGTGTCATATTTTGGTACAAATACCTCGTGCTTTCATCCATCCATCAGGGGTGACGTCTGGTAGTCTATCACCTGCTGGCTTAGTAATTTTTGGATGTTTACCCCAATACTCCCAACACTTTCTTTCCTTCTTTCTTCCTTCTTTCCTTCCTTCTTTCCTTCCTTCTTTCCTTCCTTCTTTCCTTCCTTCTTTCCTTCCTTCTTTCCTTCTTCTCCTTTCTTTCCTTCTTTCCCCTTCTTTTCCTTTCCTTCTTTCCTTCCTTCTTTCCTTCCTTCTTTTCCTTCCTTCTTTTCTTCCTTTCCTTCCTTCTTTTCCTTTTCCTTCTTTTCCTTCTTCTCCTTCTTTTCCTTCTTCCCCTTCTTTCCCTTCCTTCTTTCCCTTCCTTCTTTTCCCTTCCTTCTTTCCCTTCCTTCTTTCCCTTCCTTCTTTCCCTTCCTTCTTTCCCTTCCTTCTTTCCTTTCCTTCTTTTCCTTCCTTCTTTTCCTTCCTTCTTTTCCTTCTTTCCCTTCTTTCCTTCCTTCTTTTTCCTTCCTTCTTTCCCTTCCTTCTTTCCCTTTCCTTCTTTCCCTTCCTTCTTTCCCTTCCTTCTTTTCCTTCTTTCTTCCTTCTTTTCCCCTTCTTTCCCTTCTTTCCTTCCTTCTTTCCTTCCTTCTTTCCCTTCCTTCTTTCCCTTCCTTCTTTCCCTTCCCTTCTTTTTCCCTTCCTTCTTTCCCTTCCTTCTTTCCCTTCCTTCTTTCCCTTCCTTCTTTCCTTCTTTCTTTCTTTCCTTCCTTCTTTCCCTTCCTTTTTTCTTTCTTTCTTTCTTTCTTTCTTTCTTTTCCCTTCTTTTTCCTTCCTTTTTCCCTTCTTTCCTTCCTTTTTTTTTTTTCTTCTCCTATTGCATTTTTTGTGATTTAAAAAAAAAAAAACTGGGAAGACACACTTCTCAAAAAAATTAATGAAACACTTTTAAAACCCATCAAATCTCAATGGGGAAGTATCTCCTGCTGGATCTCTATACTGATATGGACGGGGTAATGTGTTAGGAACATAAGCATGCCCCATTGTTTGATGGAAATGATCGACCTACAGAGGAGTGAATTCAAAGATACCCCGAACATCAAAGTTTTGTTTACTAACAGTTCTCCCTGTCAGCTCAGGCACACTGCTGTGGATGGTTGTGCACAGCCATCCAGGGCAGTGTGCTTACAGTGAAGCACACAGATATGGCCCCCTAGAAAAACACTCCCAGCACACAGTTAACCCTTTGATCACCCCTCATGTTAACCCCTTCCTGCCCAGTGCCAATAGTACAGTGTCAGTGCTTTATTTTTATTTATTTCTGTTTTTAGCACTGATCACTGTATTGGTGTCACTGGGGATGTCAGTGAAACCAAGTCAGTTCCCCCCCCAGTGTCCAGGATGTCCTCCACAGTACTGCTATAAGTCGCTGATCACCACCATTACTAGTAGAAAAAAAAAGTGTGTGTGTGTATAATATAAATATATATATATATATATATATATATATTAGTGTGTGTGTAATAAATATATATAGTGTGTGTAATCTCTATCACCATTTGTATATGCTATAACTTTCATGAAAACCAATTAGTTTACAAGTATTGGGATTTTTATTTTATTTTTTTTTATTAGCAAAGACCTGTAGCAGAATACATTTTGGCCTAAATTTGACAAAATTTTGGTTTTGTTTTCTCTGGACATGTTTATTAGCAAAATGTAAAAAAAAATTTTTCTCAGAATTGTTGTTTTGTTATTAAGTATTCTTGCATGGCAGACCACTTACTGTTATCTCACCTATATATTTCTTATTATTACAGCCAAATTTACCCCCCTAACTCCTCCCACAGTTTTTACACTACATAGACAGTAATATACCGAAACGTGCGGATTGTTCCCGATTGGTGTGCTATTACTTTGTGGAGCATTTCGCTGAATGGTTCACAAAATATCTGCATTTTTGTGGTGAAATTGGTCCTATAGGAATGAATGGCGTAATGTTCAAAACTAGAGTGGGAGATGAAAAATCAGGACATGATTTCTAAACTGCCATCACTCCCTCATTTTCAAGCCCACCTACACAAATCTTATATATGAAATTGTTCAGCTTTCCCTGCTGCCACTAAAAATGTCCACGGCTAAGCCATAGTCCTGATAGTTTTCACAATATGACCATTTGTTTGCAACTCACGCTGTCCATTGACATTCCTTGAAACTCCACTCTAGCCACCTCAAATTTGAAGGGCAATTTCTAAACTGCGACTGTGCCTTCATTTTTAATATTTCAGAGACATACTATGCATCAAAATGTAGGTCTGGGTCTTGTGATTCTCACAATATAAAGCTCTTCGGTGTAGTATTTATCATTTTTAAACTACAACCGTTTGAAGATGGCAACCGCCAGTGAAGTGAGCAAGTTGGAGCAGTTTGTTTTAACCGCTCTTCTCTGCCCTTGCTGTAGAGTGAGTTGCCATAGGAACCCAGGTGTGGGAGCAGGCAGCAGAGTGACAAGCCACTCCACCCAGTTACTCCGCCCACTCCAGTTGTAGACTACTGGTGGAGGCAAGGACACTTCACACAATTTTCCCAAAAAATTGTAGCTTTTCTAATTTTATTTTTTTTTTTTTTTATAGCCCAAAAAATATAAAACACACAGATGATCAAATACCACTGAAAGCTCAATTCGTGGGGAAAAAAAGGACATAAATTTAATTTGGGTGCAGTGTTGCATGACCGTGCAATTGTCAGTTAAAGTAACACAGTGCTGTATCGCAAAAAATTGCCTGGTCAGGAAGGGGGGTTAAATCCTCAGGAGGGCAAGTGGTTTAACCACTTCCAGTCCGGACACTTTCACCCCCTTCCTGTCCAGGGCAATTTTCAGCTTTCAGCGCTATCACACTTTGAATGACAATTGCGCGGTCATGCAATACTGTACCCATATGAATTTTTTACCATTTTTTTTGAGACAGATAAAGCTTTATTTTGGTGGTATTTATTCTCCGCTGGGATTTTTATTTTTTTTGCTATGTAAATGAAAACGTCCAAAAATTTAAAAAAAAGTGGTTTTTTTTATAACATTTTGCAAATAAATAATATTTCATCATAAATCTTGGCCAAAATGTATTCCATTATTTTTTTAGTAAAAAAAAAAAAAAATCCAAATTAGTTTATAACCAAAAATTATCATTTTTAAACATTTTTTTTTTACATTTTTATTTTTTTTTTTTTTTTTTTTTTTTTACATACTGTCACCCTAGCAGTACTGTGTCACCATGGTGACACTGTACTACTTGTGGGGGGTGATGAAGATATCTTTTTTTACACTGATTGCTTTTACACCCATATAGGATGTAAAAGCAATCATTTCTCTTTCTCTCTGTCTGCATTCTTGCAGTCATTGAGAAGTACTGAGTGAGCTGTGATTGGTCACAGCTTGTCACATGGTACAAGGCTGTTGTGAATAGCCTTGTACCATGTGACCTCTGTGATCATTCACAGATTTCACACGTGGTAAGCAATGATGTCACAAGTGACATCTTGCTTACTACTTTGCATGTGATCACTGATTGGCCAATCAGTGATCACATGATCGGGACCTCATACAGAGGTCCCGTCCGACGATCGGTGTTTCACTGTGTCCGGAGGACACAGCGGGCACCGGATTGCGGTGCTGCGCACTCCCAGGGAGCACGCACAGCTAGAGAAGGCGGGTGCCGTTTAGGAACGGCAACCCACCCCTGCACTGCCACCGCATTGCCGTTTATAAACAGCAGGCGGACGACAAGGGGTTAAAAAAAAAAAAAACCCTCTTAGAATTACTTTTAACAGACCAAAAAGGAGAACATTAGAGAAGACCAGTGTTTGGGTTTACATACACTTTTAACTCTCCAACCTCTATGCAAAACTAAAAGAAATGTTATTAAATGGTCAGTCCTGAACTGCTCTACATTGCTTGATGCTTCCTGTGTCCTAATACATTCTCTGCTCATTCTCCTCTTTATACTGCAGGCTCTTCTGAAATCCTGTGAGTCATCCACCTCTCTGACCAATGACTCCAATGTCAGGATGATCACGCTGTATGACAACGAGGAGGTGAGGCATGCTGGGAGTGATGGTGAAATCATCCTATCAGGACAAATTTGGTGTTATTTACTAAGACTTCATGGTGCAAAATCTGGTGTATCTCTGCATAGAAACCAATCCGCTTCCAGATTTTATTGTTCTTATAATACAGGATTTATATGGCGCCAGCCGTTTGCTCAGAGCTTTACAATATAAAGAGACAATACAGCAACAATACAGTTCAATACAAGAGGGATAGGAGGGCCCTGATCCTTGGAGCTTACAGTCTAAGAGGGAGGGGCTGGTGGTACAAAAGGTAATATCTGTGGGGGATGGACTAGTAGGAAGAGTAGAAGATTCCATTATTAGCTGAGGGCAGGATAGGCTTCCCTGAAGAGACACGACTTCAGAGTTCGCCTAAAAGTGAGCAGAGTAAGGCGATAGTCTGATAAATTGGGGTAGAGGTTTCCAGAGGATGGGGGGCTCTTGAGACGAGCATGGGAGGAGGAGACAAGGGAAATAAAGAGCAGGAGGTAGTGGGAGGAGCAAAGAAGATGGTTTGGGTGATATTTGGAGACAAAATTGGTGATGTATTTGGGAGCAGAGTTATAAATGACTTTATATGTGATTGTTAATGTTTTTTAATTTTATCCATTGGGCAATGGGAAGCCAGTGGAGGGATTGGCAGAGAGGGGCGGAGGACACTGGAGGCCAGTGGAGGGATTGGCAGAGAGGGGTGGAGGGATTGGCAGAGAGGGTTGGAGGACACTGAGTGGAGGCCAGTGGAGGGATTGGCAGAGAGGGGTGGAGGGATTGGCAGAGAGGGATGGAGGACACTGAGTGGAGGCCAGTGGAGGGATTGGCAGAGAGGGGTGGAGGACACTGAGTGGAGGCCAGTGGAGGGATTGGCAGAGAGGGGTGGAGGACACTGACCAGAGGAGGGATGAGAGGGGTGGAGGAGACTGAGTGGAGGCAGTGGAGGGATTGGCAGAGAGGGGTGGCAGATATGGAATGGTTAGTAAGGTGGATGAGTCTGGCAGCAGCATTCATGATAGACTGAAGAGGGGATAGCCTGTGATGAGGTCGGCCAATGAGGAGGGAGTTACAATAGTCAAGGCGAGATATAACAAGGGAGGGAATAAGTTGCTTAGAAGTTTCAGAGGTTAAAAACTATTTTATTGTCAAAGCTTATAGGATAAGTTCACCTTTCATATCACGATACATGTCACACTCCTATTCAGGGTGTAACATGTTATGAAGTGACCGCCCCCCCTGCTTTGACAACTAGCGGGGATCTTCTCCTCCTGCTAGCTGTCAATATTTTTAAAAACTGCACCTTTCTGCCCACGTTACTCATTCGGAGAGTCCTGTGAATGAGAAACTACAAGTCCCAACAGCCTTTGCGGCTGTCGGCTTGTAATTCTCAATGAACTGCCATTGCACTGTGGAACGCGGTGGTTGTTCATCGATTCTTCCTGTCAGTATATCTGCGTGCCTGTACTTCCCGTACGGGCAAGCAAATATACGGACAGGTCTGCGGGAGACTTGCAAGGCACCAGTGATCACTGGCGCAACGGTTTACAGGTTCTTGCAACAAAAAATAATAAATGCACTTTTTACAGGTGAAAAAAAAATGGGCACTTTTTTTTTTTTTTTTTTTTTTTTAGCAAAAGTTGAATCCCCCCCCCCCCCCCTCCCCCCTTTTCTCCTTTTGGGGTTGTTTTGCACTTTTTAGTTTGTTCTATGTTTTAGATTTGTTGGGCCTTAGCCCTGCCCCTGCGAGGGCAACTGTTTGTTTTTTGTGTGTGGGTTTTTTGTTTTTTTGTCGTCCCCCCCCAACTAACTCAATAAAACAAAAAAGATTTAAAAAATAAAAAGGTGAACTCCGTTTTACTTGCTGAAATTAGAATCTGGTGCAGCTGTGCATAGAGGCTGATCAGCTTTTGAGTGCTCCAGTTTTAGTAACTCTCCCCCCATTGTGTCCTTGTGACACACGCTCTGCATATGAGGGGACATTACAAGGAGATGGTATGGGGGGGGGGGGGGCAATCCTACAGACAGCTGCAATGGACAGGAGAACATGTGACCTTTACTGGCAGAAAAGGCGTCCATGATGCAACTCTCCCAAAATGTACAAGGATACACGCGTATGACTAGTCTGTTGGCACTTGTAACCTTCAACTTGTTGGAGATATGTCCCATCAGCCACTACTCATATTACCATTTACTCCATCAGTGTTTTTTTTTTTTTTTTTTTCCACTACAGTCTGTTTACCATAAATGTGTCCATATATCATATATGGCTAAGTGGTTAGCACTTCTGCCTGGCTAGTACTAGGGTCGTTGGTTAGAATCCCAACCACGGCACCATCTGCCTGGAGTTTGCATGTTCTCCCTGTGCCTGTGTGGGTTTCCTCCGGGTACTCCGGTTTCCTCCCACACTCCAAAGACATGCTGGTAGGTTAATTGGATCCTGTCCAAATTGGTTCTAGTATGTGTATGTATGAATGTGAGTTAGGGACCTTAGACTGTACGCCCCTTAAGGGTTAGGGACTGATGTGAATGTACAATATGTATGTAAAGCGCTGTGTAAATTGATGGTGCTATATAAGTACCTGAAATAAATAATATCAATGTTAATAGATCCATGGTTCCAGCACAGCCCTACAGCAGTAGACTTGAATAGCGAGTGACTTTGGTGAAACCAATCACACCATCAGTAAATCTGTCCAGAATGCTAAGTATCACCAGCATGCCAGTAGTAAAAATAAAAAACTAAAATACATAAATATGACACTCTATTAAAATTCTTGGTGTATTGCATTTTGGATTATTAGAACAAAATGTTGACCTCACTCTATTTTATGTTTTTGTGGCATGTTTCTTCAGCAATGGAATGTAAGGGTTGATTTGAAAGACTGTGCACTTTGCAAGTGCAATTGCTTCAGAACTTAAAAGTAAATAAAACCCTAACCAAAAAAACTAATGGGGTTTTTAATGTTCCAAATCATATATAACAAAAATAATAAAAGAGTTGAAGAAAAGTTTACCGCCTTTTTATTAGCTAAAAAACCATCATATTGGTGGGGCATGACAATAGGACACATATATCATAATAGGCCCAAATGTGTTGGACAGGCAATACTACAAAATGTGTTGGACAGACAATACTACAAAATGTGTTGGACAGACAGTACTACAAAATGTGTTGGACAGACAGTACTACAAAATGTGTTGGACGGACAGTACTACAAAATGTGTTGGACAGGACAGTACTACAAAATGTGTTGGACAGACAGTACTACAAAATGTGTTAGGACGGACAGTACTACAAAATGTGTTGGACGGACAGTACTACAAAATGTGTTGGACGGACAGTACTACAAAATGTGTTAGACAGTACTACAAAAATGTGTTGGACAGACAGTACTACAAAATGTGTTGGACGGACAGTACTACAAAATGTGTTGGACGGACAGTACTACAAAATGTGTTGGACGGACAGTACTACAAAATGTGTTGGACGGACAGTACTACAAAATGTGTTGGACGGACAGTACTACAAAATGTGTTGGACGGACAGTACTACAAAATGTGTTAGACAGTACTACAAAATGTGTTGGACAGACAGTACTACAAAATGTGTTGGACGGACAGTACTACAAAATGTGTTGGACGGACAGTACTACAAAATGTGTTGGACGGACAGTACTACAAAATGTGTTGGACGGACAGTACTACAAAATGTGTTGACGGACAGTACTACAAAATGTGTTGGACGGACAGTACTACAAAATGTGTTGGACGGACAGTACTACAAAATGTGTTGGACGGACAGTACTACAAAATGTGTTGGACGGACAGTACTACAAAATGTGTTGGACGGACAGTACTGCAAAATGTGTTGGACGGACAGTACTACAAAATGTGTTGGACGGACAGTACTACAAAATGTGTTGGACGGACAGTACTACAAAATGTGTTGGACGGACAGTACTACAAAATGTGTTAGACGGACAGTACTACAAAATGTGTTGGACGGACAGTACTACAAAATGTGTTGGACGGACAGTACTACAAAATGTGTTGGACGGACAGTACTACAAAATGTGTTGGACGGACAGTACTACAAAATGTGTTGGACGGACAGTACTACAAAATGTGTTGGACGGACAGTACTACAAAATGTGTTGGACGGACAGTACTACAAAATGTGTTGGACGGACAGTACTACAAAATGTGTTGGACGGACAGTACTACAAAATGTGTTGGACGGACAGTACTACAAAATGTAGCCTACTGACAATAAATCACAGATTGAAATAATGATACTCGTAGGATGATTCCTTGACATCTTTGGTACTGATAAAATACTCTGATTGCTCCAGCATTTAAGTACAAGTAGATACTTTGTTCATTGCTCCAACACGTTTCTTGGGACAAAGGCCGCTTCTTCAGGGAGACAAAGTATACATTTCGGTTGGTGATATGGCCTCCCATAAGACCAGTGCATAACATATAGGGCAGAGTATGGACAGAGGCCCTCAGCTAAAGGTATCGGTGACCGCCAGGCACGTGGAGCCGTACATCCACCATGAAAAGCACAATTGATCGTTCAGAAAATATGTTGGTGACCATCCAAGGTGTGCTCCAAAGATAATGGAGAAATGAATATCAAAGACTCTTTCAAATATAGGGGAGGGGGAAGGAATGGCAGCATCCCTACTCCCCCAGTGTAGTCCTGCTTTGCTGGCGTCCATCATCCAATCATGTACATGCAAAAATGCTGGGTTTGGAGGGGGTTTTTTTTGTATGATTTTTTTTTTTTGGTTTTGTTTTGTGGTTTTGTTTTTTTTTTTTTTTTGGGGTTTTTTTTTGTTTTTTTTTTTTTTCTTCCATGTGATTGAGTATTCTTTGCAAAGTAAGGTTTACCTCCTTTACGAGGCTCTGGAGTAAATGCACTTGCAGGGTGTAACTGCCCTTTGCAAAGAGCTCAGTCTGTTTTTGCCTTTAGTAGTAAATCAACCCCATAGAATAGAAAACCTCTACTGATGGAAACGCAAAGGCTGCCATTGTTGACAGTGGTCACAAGGTGCTAGTTGGCTGGCTGCCATGTTGATCCAATGGGGTTGATTTACTAAAGACAAATAGACTGTGCAGTTGCTCCAAAGCTTAATAAAGGAGCTGACTTCCCTAATCCGGTCACGTGCAACCAAAAAATGCATTTCTTTTTTTTTTTTTTTTTTTCCTTGCATGTGATTGGTTATTGTTTGCAAAGTGCAGTTGCTCCAGACCTTAGTAAATGACGTAAGTCTTCACTGTGCAAAGTGCGTAGTCTATTTGCCTTCAGTAAATCAACCCCATTGTCTTCAATACTTCCTAAGTAACCGATCAGAATAGACATGCCGATTAGGGATGTTGATGTGAATTTTACTGGGTGATGCTGACAACTGTTAGGAAGATTTATTACTAAATATTGGGGATTTTCTTTTCAGATTTTCAACCATTTAGTCACGTGTATGGTTTTTTTTTTTTTTCCAATCAGGTGGGATCGGAGAGCGCGCACGGAGCAGAGTCACTTCTTACTGAGCTGATCTTGCGTCGCATTTCCTGCACCCCTCAGAATCTGACTGCCTTTGAAGAATCTGTGCCCAAATCCTTTATGATCAGTGCTGATATGGCACACGCCGTGCATCCTAACTACATGTAAGTAAATGGCATGCATATAGAAACCTTTAAAGTGGTTGTAAATCTCAGACATGATATATGAACCAAGCATATCCTTCTATAGTATGTACTTTGTCTCATTCAAGAGCACTAAGTGTCATTTCTGTCTGCTGCCTCCTTCCTCTGTTGTCAGCATGAGTCACTTCTGATGAGTTTTCCTGACACCAAGAGAAAAATGGTGACTGGGAGGGGCCTCCAGCAGATTGACAGTGTGCTGTGTGAAGGGGGTGTATCTCTTCCCTCCAATCTGCTCTCAGAGCTCTCCTTGCTGTCTAACAAATGATGCACTGATTTGCATGTTCATGAGGGAAATAAGTATTTGATCCCCTTCACAAAACATGACTTAGTACTTGGTGGCAAATCTGTTGTTGGCAATCACAGAGGTCAGACGTTTCCTGTAGTTGGCCCCCAGGTTTGCACACATCTCAGGAGGGATTTTGTCCCACTCCTCTTAGCAGATCCTCTCCAAGTCTTTGGCAAGTTTGGCAACTTGCACTTTGAGCTCCCTCCACAGATTTTCAATCGGATTAAGGTTTGGAGACTGGCTAAGCCACTCCAGGACCTTAATGTGCTTCTTGAGCCACTCCTTTGTTGCCTTGGCCGTGTGTTTTGGGTCATTGTCATGCTGGAACACCCATCCACGACCCATTTTCAATGCCCTGGCTGAGGGAAGAAGGTTCTCACCCAAGATTTGACGGTACATTGCCCCGTCCATCGTCCCTTTGATCCGGTGCAGTTGTCCTGTCCCCTTAGCAGAAAAACACCCCCAAAGCAGAATCTTTCCACCACCATGTTTGACAGTTGGGATGGTGTTCTTGGGGTCATAGGCAGCATTCCTCCTCCTCCAAACACGGCGAGTTCAGTTGATCCCAAGGAGCTCTATTTTGGTCTCATCTGACCACAACACTTTCAACCAGTCCTCCTCTGCATCATTCAGATGTTCAGTGGCAAACTTCAGATAGGCCTGGACATGTGCTTTCTTGAGCAGAGGGACCTTGTGGGCACTGCAGGATTTCAGTCCTTGTCGGCGTAGTGTGTTACCAATTGTTTTCTTGGTGACTGTGGTCCCAGCTGCCTGGAGATCATTGACAAGATCCTCACGTGTAGTTCTGGGATGTTCTCATGATCATTGACACTCCAGGAGCTGAGAACTTGCATGGTGCACCAGACCTAGGGGGACTGACAGTTGTTTTGTGTTTCTTCTATTTGCGAATGATTGCACCAACTGTTGTCACCTTCTCACCAAGCTGCTTGGCCATGGTTTGGTAGTCCAGTCCAGCCTTGTGTAGGTCTACAATCTTGTCCCTGACATCCTTGAACAGCTCTTTGGTCTTTGCCTAGGTGGAGAGTTTGGAATTTGATTGTTTGATTGCTCCTGTGGACAGGTGTCTTTTATACAGGTAACAAAAATGAGATTAGCAGCACTCCCTTTAGGAGACTGCTTCTAATCTCAGCTTGTTACCTGTATGAAAGACACCTGGTATCCAGAAATCCTGCTGAATGATAGGGGATCAAATACTTATTTCCCTCAGGAACATGCAAATCAGTCATCATTTGTTAGACATGCATTTGTTTTGACTTCTTTTTGCTATTCTGTCTCTCCGTGTTACAATACACCGAACATTTGATTTTTAGACTGATCATTTCTTTATGAGTGGGCAAACATTCAAAATCTGTGTGTGTGCGTGTGTGTGTGTGTGCGTGTGTGCGCGTGTGCGCGCCTTTAGACTGATCACTTCTTTGTGAGTGGGCAAACATTCAATATCAGGAGGGGATCAAGTGTGTGTGTCAGTTATTTGTCTTGTACATGTGGCTATGTGGTGTGTTTTTTTTTTTTTTTTTTTTTTTTTGTTTGTACCTTTTTCCTAAACACACTTCTGTCCCTGGGTGGCTGCACTTCCCCTTATCCTATAAGCACAGTAAGTGACAGGACACATTTCTGTTAGGATCAGTAGGTATTTTCTGTACTTGCTGAAAATGTTTTAGCCTGGAAAAAAGAGTACTAATGCACCTCATCTAAAGACTGGAAAGCTTTCACTGTTGTATATGTATGTTGAATACATCTTTATATGGATAAATGTTTTTCCTTCTGCAGGGATAAACATGAGGAAAATCACAGGCCACTTTTCCACAAGGTGAGCTTCTGTGTTTGTTCATCTACGACTCTTAATTATGTCATCCTTCCCAATTGTAATCTTTTGGCTATCTACATAACTTTAATTACATTTTTTTTTAATTTTTTTTTTTTTAGGGACCAGTCATCAAAGTGAACAGCAACCAGCGCTATGCCTCCACTGCCGTGACTGAAGCTGTGTTGCGTGAAATTGCTGGGCGCGTTGGAGTGCCCCTGCAGGTACTGATAGGTCACCGAGGAACATGACAATGTCGGGTCGTTGGCTCTTTTTGTTTTTACAGACCCTGTTGGTAGAGAACTGATGGCAAACTGCACCACCCCGCAAAAGTAGGGAGTTAAACCACCTGACAATAACTCTTATCTTCCCGGGGCTATTGGTGAGATCTCTGGGTTCCAGGGTCTGCACACCTACTTTACCCATTATGAGGGTCTCCCACCATCCCTGGAACACATAAGTGGGTCAGAACACCCAAAACGCCCTGAGGGACAGGAGTGGAATAAGGAACTTTTTGGCAGAGAGGTCTCACTGTTGGATTATCCAAGATCCATAAGGAGCCAGGGAACTGATGCAGCCCACCAGGTGTCACTTATAAGTAAAATATCATTGTTGGTTGGAGCAACCTTTAAATGGAAAGTGGCTTAAGAGATGGCACTTCTGCCTGGCAGCACTGGGTTGGTGGCTGTTCCTGCACTTATGTGGATTTCCTCTGGGTACTCTCGTTTTCTCACACACTCCAAAGCCATCTTTCTCAGCCAGGGTTCCCTGTAACCCCATGGTTCCTCCTGAGGTTACTAGGGGTTTCTTGAGCCTTGAGAAATGGCGGATTTATCTCTCACCTTCACTGACCACCAATGCAAAAGGGCAATTTTCCACTAATTGCTAATGTAAACTGGCTGTGAATGTTAGACTGGACATTAAGTATGCACTGTAGGTATATTGGAAAAAGAGTAGACAGATGGGGCACACACCTAGTGCATTATCCAAGATGTATTCAAAGATATAAAAGACAAAAACATACTCAAAAGACAAAGCATGTATAAAAAGCTTTTGCATAATGGCGATGGCCACAACAGCGGGCAAGGTGTTCCAACTGTCAGTGCGGACAGGAGGCTGATGCGTCCCTTTCCAAAATGCGTCAGCCTCCTGACCGCACTGACAGTTGGAACACCTTGCCCGCTGTTGTGGCCATCTCCATCATACAAAAGCTTTTTATACATGCTTCTTCGTCTGTGAGTATGTTTTTTTGTCTTTTATATCTTTGAATAAATCTTGGATAATGCACTAGTAGTTGTGTGCGCCATCTGTCTGCTCTTTTTCCAGTGGTTGATTCCCCCGTCTGAGGAGGGCTGCACCCCTGAAGCATTATCTTTAGGCCACCTCTGTCCTGGTCCCCTTGGCTTCCCTTTTGGCAATTCATTTCCTAGAGCGCTGGAGTACACACACTCTAGGTATATTCCCTTTTTAGCGGGGGTTCTTTGAGAACCTGAAAACTATTTTGAGGGTTCCTCGGGGGTAAGAAAGGTTAAAGGCTGCTCTAAGGAAATGCTGATAGGTCCATGAACTCCAGTCTAAGTTGGCCCTAGTATGTGTTTGTTATGTATATGTATATGGGATTGAGACTTTAGATTGTAAGCTTCCTAAGCCCTTTCTGCCCTTTTTTAAAGAGTTCTGAACAGCCAGGGGGTGGGAAGGATTGTCGATCATGTGACCATTGTGATTTGCTATCACAGTGGTCACATGATCCAGGAGTTGGTCCCTCTAGCTGCTGATAATTAGGGAGAGAGCTTAGCTTCTTCCGGGGAGTGCGCCGTGTTTGGGTATATAATGTATATAATCATCTACCACCTATGTTTAGACTTTCAGCCCCGGTTCACAATAATGCAGAGTGGGACTCCGCAAGTAATTCAAATAGGAATCGCACCGCATTCCTGTGTGAATTACATGCCATGTGTGTGGTGCAATTTGAGCCATTCATTTTTTTTTTTTTTTATGGCTAAAATCAGATCGCATCCACACCAAAAAGGTGTAGGACCTTTTTTTTGTTTGTGTTTTTTTTTTCATTTTTTCTTATACCCATGCAATGCGGTTTTCTGGAAATCGCACTGTATTTTGCGATCTGTTTCGGGGTATCATTAATGTAACATTGACACCCGCATCAGCTTCATGCATCAGTATGAACCCGATCTTAAACAGGTCATACATGGCTCAAATTTTAATGAATGCCTGCTCAATTGGTTAATATTCATGCCCTGGGTGACCTCAGTAAAATTTCAATTTGAAAATGTGAAGGAGCCAGGTAGAATATAGTTGACTGACTGCATCCAATCACATAGTCGCTGTTCAGATATTCAAACAGCCGCAGGTGATGCAGCTGTCTGGGTGTAAGATGGCAGTGTAGATTCCTCCATTGTGTTTAGCATGGATAGGGGAAGTGATGGATTTCTCCTGTTCAGCCTGTGGGGCTAAGCAAGAGCAAAATCTATGGCTAGCTTTAGGCTGGCCACACACAAATTTTATTATTATTATTATTCTTTTTTTTTTTTTTTTTTTTTTTACATTCAACTCATTTGTTGAATGAAAATTGGAAATGAACAGATTCCCCTATCCACACACAAGGGTGGGGGAATCCTTTCTACTGTGGTATTGTATTCTGATGGTGGTAACCTGAGGTTGATTAGTGTACAGCCACCCTGCCCATACATGGATCAAATTTTGGCCAGTCCCTGCTGAACCTGCAATGTATTGCTGGCTTTAGACAACCCTTTTTTCCATCTTCCATGAATATACAGGGGCAAGTCAGACAAATTCTATATGGAGGGATATGCAGGTTATACATTTTTTACCTTTTTGTTTTTAATAACAACAAAAAGGTGGAAATCCCTCCAGTCCACACCAGTTCATTGTGATCATTCTGTTCTGCACAAGGCTATGAAGAAAGTAAGAGCTAGGATTTCTGCTCCTCTTTCAAACCTGAAAGATGAATTTCTCCACAATACCTGTAGCTACTGTATAATGTGAGATATTAGGAATTTAATCTTGTAAACTTGTAACGCTACTAAAGTCCACTTTTTTAAATGCAAGAGATTAGCTTTCCATATTGTCTATTTTTGCTTTTCTACAGAAAGTACAGAATATTGTATCTAAATGTGACAACAAGCTTTATTTTCTTCAGCAATTTTTTTTTTTTCTGCACCAGGAGTTCATGGTGAGAAATGATGTGCCATGCGGTACAACTATTGGGCCAATCCTGGCCAGTAAGCTTGGCCTGCGAGTGCTGGACTTGGGCTGTCCTCAGCTGGCGATGCATTCCATAAGAGAGATGTGCTGCACCTCTGGGGTCCTGCAGACCAGCTCTCTGTTCCAGGTACGTCTGATTGCCACTAGAGGGCACTGCTGAACCTTTTTGATCTTCAAAAACCTCACATCTGAACGTCAGCATTTGTAATATGAAGATCTATCATGGGAGGAGTGCGGCGATATGTTCCTCAGTATGCAGAGCGCACTCCTTTACTTAATAAAAGTAATACCTCTATAGGAACTATAGAAAATCTATAATGAATAAACAAGAGGTTAAACATAATTATTCATCTTCCATCTTTTTCAGGTTTTTTTCCATGTAGGGTCCCCTATTTTTTTCCGCCATCCCAGTCAGTGCATTCTAAAAAGGATATCTGTATAGTGTAAATCAGGGGGTGCTCAACCTTTTGAAGAGTGAAGCCCACTTAAGTGATTTGTTTACTACCATATTTTTCACTCCATAAGATGCACCTAGGTTTTAGAGGAGGAAAATTAGAAAAAAAATATTCTGAACCAATGGACTGCAGAAATGGCACAGGAGATGACCAGAGACTGCGGACATAGTACAGGAGATGACCAGAGACTGCGGACACAGTACAGGAGATGACCAGAGACTGCGGACACAGTACAGGGGATGACCAGAGACTGCGGACTGCGGACATAGTACAGTACAGGAGATGACCAGAGACTGCGGACGTAGTACAGGAGATGACCAGAGACTGCGGACGTAGTACAGGAGATGACCAGAGACTGCGGACGTAGTACAGGAGATGACCAGAGACTGCGGACGTAGTACAGGAGATGACCAGAGACTGCGGACGTAGTACAGGAGATGACCAGAGACTGCGGACGTACTACAGGAGATGATCAGAGACTGCGGACGTAGTACAGGAGATGACCAGAGACTGCGGACGTGTAGTACAGGAGATGACCAGAGACTGACGTGGTACAGGAGATGACCAGACTGCGGACGTGGTACAGGAGATGACCAGAGACTGCGGACGTGGTACAGGAGATGACCAGAGACTGCGGACGTGGTACAGGAGATGACCAGAGACTGCGGACGTGGTACAGGAGATGACCAGAGACTGCGGATGTGTACAGGAGATGACCAGAGACTGCGGACGTGGTACAGGAGATGACCAGAGACTGCGGACGTGGTACAGGAGATGACCAGAGACTGCATACACAGTACAGGAGATGACCAGAGACTGCTGACGTAGTACAGGAGATGACCAGAGACCAGCTTCTCGCGCATGCGCAGTGGACACCCAGCCGTGAAGCCGCAAGCTGTCACAGCTGGGCAGTAGTGTATTTTGGTTTTGTGCTGCCCTAGGCAAGACTAAAATCGGGCACCCCCTATCTAAATTTGTCCCTCCCCTTGCTGTTTAAGATCCGCCTTTTCAGTACAGGAGCATGATGGAGGGCAGTGTGACATGGTTGGGGGGGGGGGGGATCGCGAGACAGGAGGGAGGCGTCAGCGTGATGGGGGGGCAGCAGGACAGGAAGGGGGCAGCATGAAGGGGGAGATCAGGACAGATAGGAGGGTAGCAGGACAAGAGGGAGGCAGCATTATGGGGGGCAGCATGATGGGTGGGGAGGCAGAGGGACAGGAGGAGCGCAGAGGGACAGGTGAACGTCAGTGGGACAGGAGAAGTGCAGAGGGACAGGTGGGGGGCAGGGGACAGGATCGGGGCAGTAGGACAGGAGGAGTGCAGAAAGACAGGTGAGGGGCAGTGGGGCAGGAGGAGTGCAGAGGGACAGGTGGGGGCAGCACGGCAGGGGGCATGGGACAGGACGACAGGTGAGGGGCAGTGGGACAGGAGGAGCGCAGAGGGGACAGGTGGGGTAGCGTGATGGGGGCATGGGACAGGATCAGGACAGCAAGACTGGAGGAGCGCAGAGGGACAGGTGAGGGGCTGTAGGGACAGATGGGTAGTGTGACAATGTGTGGGACAGGAGGGGGGAAGTGGAACAGGTGTGGGAAAGAGTGACAGGTGGGGGCAGGGTGACAGGGGGCAGTGTGATGGAGAGGGGGCAATGGTATGGGGGAGGGAAGTGGGACAGGTGGGGGGCTGTGTGTCAGGGTCACAGGAGTGGGGAAGCACCAGTCCTCCAAGCTCTTACCTGTCCATCTGGGGCTCCTCCAGATGGTGTCAGGATCACTTCAGGAGGGACGCCTGTGTCCCATCTCCCCCAGGATCTCAAGCGGTGGCTGCAAAAGAGCGGGGGGCTCCTCCACCCTGACCTCGTCCTCTTCCTCCTCCGCTGGCACCTTCTGGCCATCCTGCACATCCCGGCGCACACTGACAGTGGGCCCGGCCCTCACGCTTCAAGCGCACACAAGGGATCCACCCACCACTCCGCTCTCCTCTGCAGCCGGTCCCTTAGCCTGGGTGACCCTACTTGTTTGTGGACTTGGCTGTACCCTCACCCATGGCGGCCCTGCCGCTGACACACAGTGTCCCTTCTGCCTGGGGGGTGTGCCGCCCCCCTGTAAACTGCCGCCCTAGGCAAACGCCTTGTTTGCCTTCGTGGCAGATACGCCCCTGCAGCCAGGTGCCCACACTAAAAGTGCCGGGCAGAGAAGACGGTGAGGACACCGCTGGAGGAACAAGTAGGACAGCGGGAGGTCTGAAGGTTCTGCTGCACAGAAGAGCCAATCGGCCGGCCTGGTATTCTAACATGGCGACGGGGGGAGGGAATACCGGGCCGGCCACTCCATTTTCACTCCATAAGACACACAGACATTTTCCCCCATTTTTTTTTTGGGGGGGGGACGTGCATCTTACGGAGCTAAAAATTTGGTAATTTTAAATGATTTCAAAATAACCAAACAAAATTCGGACAAAATTCAATTCGAAGACAAAATCGCTTTAAATTTTTTTCAAATGTTTGTCGGAGCGCCACCCAAAAGCGGAAGTTCCGCTTTAAGGACTGGTCCCCTCCTCCCTGTTTTTTTTTTTTTTTTTTTTTTTAAGCTTGGTTGAAGTATTTTTGATTTCGAACAATTTTTACAAATTTTGTTGAATCCATTTCAAATGCAAACGACTTTTCGAATTTGGTTGAAATGTTTTCGAATGGAATTAGAATACAAATTACCGAAATGAATCCCAAGAACGAACTGACTGAATCATTCTGAAATCTAACAAATTTCATTTAGTTGGAAACAATTTTTTTTTGTTTTTTTGCACAGGTCTACTGATGGTATTGTAATTGGCTAACGCCGTGTCACAAATGAAGAATAATTACTAATAAAAATAGGTTAATGATGAGGTCCTCTTCACATTCTGCTTTGTGGTGATGCATAATGTGCTGCGGTGCAGAGTTACATAGTTCAGATTGATAAAGAGCTACAAATTCATCCAGTTCAACCAATGAAAAAAAAAAAAAATTGGAGGCAAAATTGCCAGATATCTAGCATTTTATGAAGGTGAATAGCAATGTAAACCTCCATATTTGCTTATCCTTCGCTATGAAAGTGAATATACAAAAATTCTGCACTTCTCCAGTTTTTCTTTTTTCTTTGCACAAGCAGCTGAGCTGCCATTATGGACGTCTTCGTCCTCCTTAGTTCTTTCATCCCTTCCTTTTTATTCTTTCTCTCCTTCCCTCTTTCACCCTTTCTCACTTTTCCTCCTTGTTCTCCCTCTGTATTCTCATGCACTCACACTCCCTTCTTCCACTTTGCAATCTATTATTTTTCCATCTTGTGCTCTTTTCTCCTATTCCTCAGTCTTTCTATACTTTCCTTTTATTTGCTTGCACTCTCTCTCGTTTTGCACACTCTTGCTTTCTTGTGCTTGCTCTTATGCGTGCGCTCTCCCCCCCTCTTATGCGTGCGCTCTCCCCCCCTCTTATGCGTGCGCTCTCCCCCCCCCCCCCCCCCCTTATGCGTGCGCTCTCTCCCCCCCCTCTTATGCGTGCCCCTCTCCCCCCCCTTATGCGTGCGCTCTCTCCCCCCCCCCCTTATGCGTGCGCTCTCTCCCCCCCTCTTATGCGTGCCCTCTCTCTCCCCCCCCTCTTATGCGTGCCCTCTCTCCCCCCCCCCTCTCTTATGCGTGCCCTCTCTCTCCCCCCCTCTTATGCGTGCCCTCTCTCCCCCCCCTCTTATGCGTGCCCTCTCTCTCCCCCCCTCTTATGCGTGCCCTCTCTCCCCCCCCCCCCTCTTATGCGTGCCCTCTCTCCCCCCCCCCTCTTATGCGTGCCCTCCTTCCCCCCCCTTATGCGTGCGCTGTCTCCCCGCCTCTTATGCGTGCGCTCTCTACCCTCCCCTCTTATGCGTGCGCTTTCTCCCCCCCCTCTTATGCGTGCGCTCTCTACCCCCCCCCCTCTTGTGTGTGCACTCTCTCTGGCGCTCTCTCCCCCCTTCCTCCCTGTTGTGTGCGCTCTCCCCCCCTTTTTATGCGTGCGCTCTCCCCCCTCCCCTTATGTGTGCGCTCCCCCCCCCCTTGTGCGTGCGCTCTCTCTGGCGCTCTCTCCCCCCCCCTCCCTCTATGTGCGCTCCCCCCCCCCCCCCCCTCTTATGCATGCGCTCTCTCTGGCGCTCTCTCCCCCCGCCTCCCTCTTATGTGCGCTCTCCCCCCCCCCTCTTATGCATGCGATCTCTCTGGCACTCTCCCCCCCCCCCCCCCCCCCCCGCCTCCCTCTTGTGTGTGCTTTCTGTCTTTCACTCTCATTTGCTCTCTCTCTCTTGTTGTGGCGCCATTAATGTGGGACCCCCAAGTGCGTCATCCTGCTGTTTTTGTTATGATCACTTCAAATGGTTTAGATAATTTTCAGAGTTGTATTTAAACATCTGTTTTTTTCTTTCTTCCAATCTCCGGCTGATTCACAGCTCCAGATCCTTAATAAGAGATTTAAATGCATGATGTGCTGCTGCATAATCTCTGCATTTCACAGTCACTTCTACCTCTGCAATTAAATCATTGTTTAACCTTTCTGACAATTCCACCCCTCGTCTTACAGCTCCGAATGTTTGTCAGATCTCGGCTTTGTCCCATGAATGCCCTCCTATTAGTTGGTGTGACCCCGGTGCCCTGTTTTAGAAGGGTGACTCCTTGTTCAGAGGTAGAAGAACCTCCACACCCCTCTCCTGTATATCTGGGGCTGTGGATAGTTTGTGTACATTCATATTATTGTGTATTCAAGCATCTCTTTGCATGTGTGACTCTGTTGGGTCGTGTGTATGAGCCTCTAATTGTGTGTGTGCTTTGGCCTCATTGGCTGTTGCCATGGCAACCTACACTGGCCTTGAAGTCAATGGGTGGTTGCTGTGGCAACAGCAGACATCAGTGGGTTAGACTAGTGGTTGCTATGGTGAAACTGAGACATCTCTAACGAGCAAAGAGGATGTGTTAGCCTATGAGATAATATAATGGTCACCATGGTGACATGAGCCCACCCCCCCCCCCTTCTTGTAGTTTGTTTTCCTCGTGTGAGCGTTCTCCGGTCCTTGTCCTGCTTCTCCTCATCGAACCATGGTGCTTCCCTGAACATCCTGAGGAGCCAGTGTATATGACAGGAGCAAAAATGGCATTCTGCCACCCGTGGAACTACAGATCCCATCATTCCTTGCCGGGTGCATGCTGGGATTTGTAGTTTCACACTGGTTGAGATGGCGGGGCCGCATATTGCGTCCTGTAATCCTCTGTTACCGCAGAGCAGCACCCCAATACAGAATGTGCAATAACCAGGCAGTGATCCTCCCGACGGACAATCATGGCTGACACCGCTTTATTGTATATGGGCTGACAAAGCTGTGTATAGTGCCATGCTAGATTATGTACTACTGACTGAGGCCCTCGGTGCCAGGCCTCACGTTCCCAAATAATACAAATATCCCATTTCTCTATACTCCATGGACTGGTGAAAGAGGTTCTGCGGCTTGCATTCTGTTCTCTCTCCTTCCCCTCTCTTCTGTGCTCTTTATTCCTTTTCCACCCTTCATTGTACTCTCCTTCATTTTTACACCTGCCTTTTGCTCTCCCATTCTTTCCCTTTTCTCTCTTTTTGTTCTCTCCCTTTCTCTCTTTTTGCTCTCTCCAATGCTTTCACTTTTTTTTTTTGCTCTATCTTTCTTTCCATTTTTTGCACTCTCCCTTCCTTTTGCACTTTTTTCTTTGCTCTCATTCTTCCCATTTTTTGCACCCTGCTTTGTTCTCCTTTTTGTACTCTCCTTTCCTTTGGCACCCACTTTTGCTCTCTCCTTTTTGCACTCTCCCTTCCCTTTTGCTCTTTTTTCCCTTTTTGTGCACCCTCCTGTGCTCTCCTTTCCTTTTGCACTCTCCTTCTCTTTTGCATCCTCCTTTTTGCTTTCTACTCCTTTTTGTGTTTTTTTTTTCCTTTTGATCTTTTTTCCCTTTTGCACCCTCTTTTGCTCTCTCCTCCTTTACTTTTTTGTACTCCTTCCTTCCACTCTCACCTTTTTTTTTTTTTCCCTTTTTTTAGCACTCTCCTTCCTTTTCCATCTGTCAAAATAAATTAGATTTTTATTTATTTTTTGGACAAATCAAATTCTCTCACCATCCCTTTTTCTCTTTTCTTTGCTCTATATCCTTTTTGCACTCTCCTTCGCTCTCTTCTTCCTTTTTCAATCAGTCCAAATAAGCTTTGTATTTGTTTTTTTTTTTTGTTTTTTTGGCAGCACTAAATTTTTTTTTTTTTTCGCTTTCTTCTACCCTTTCACACTTTGTTCTCTCCTTCTCCTCCTTTTTCTCTCTCCTTCTCTTTCTCTCCTCCTTTATCTCACCTCCCTTTTCTCTCCTTCTCTTTCACTCCTCCTTTATCTCTCCTTTTTTTCTTTCCTCCTTTATCTTTCCTTTTTTTCTCTCCTCCTTTAT